GACACTACAGTGAGTCCAACAATGAAAAACAAAGCGTGTTTTGTCCTTTATCCTCACAGCATATTTTGGGCTTTAATGCCATAAATCAGTGTGATTATTTTAAACCTGCTCCTATAACACTATAGTGGGTTTAAGTCCACTTTATCATATTAATGTGTAAAGTAGAATTGTTTAGGTGCTGGTTAATGTTTGTTGTGGTTGATCATTTTTGGTTCAATTTCTAATAGGTTACAATAGGTTACAAGTTGCATATTTCATCCATGAGTAAAGTCCTCCACTGCAGAACAATAGGACTTCATGAATATATACACTAACAGCCGTATGGTGTCCTGTAAGGTCTGCTAAATGGACCGTAGCCCACAGTTGTCGCAGCTCATCAGCGCTGAGCAGCTGATCTGTCCTGTGGACAGACTGGACAGACGGGCTGCCGTCCCTCTGCTGCTCCTGCCCACTGTGCTGGAGCAGAGGCTGCCTCACACCGAGCAGAAACTAGACAGGGAAGCAAGTGGAACATAAACCTCTTACTTTACATAGGCTACTTGTTTGGTTTTGGACAGCATGGTGAAACAGCGACGCGTCAGAGCGCGTTCCTGCTGCGCAGCTGTTGCGCCTCTCTGTAGCAGAAGAGGAGCAGTAAAGGTAGGTGTGCATGCTGGGTTTAATTTCATTCTAATCTACATAGTTACTATAGTCTGTATGCTAGTGGATAGTGGTGGCTATGGTATGCTGGTGGGTAAAGGGAAAAAAGTAAAGTAGTCTAGTGTGTGTATTCCGAGGCAAAGCTAATAAGACCTTGTTTTAATTCTCATATTTAATTTAATTAATTTAAGTTTTTTTTGTTTATTTTATTCTACTTTTTATTTTGTTGCCAAATAGCTAACACACTTTTGAATGGTGCTTCTGTTGCACTGCTCGTCAGACTGCTCACACATGGGTGTGACTGTGGTGGTTACAAGGAGATATGCTATCTCTAACTGTATGTCAACACGAGACTATGTACATACCAGACACCCCATCGAGCTTTACAATAATCAGATAGTATAAGTGATATCATGGTTATCACTGAAATATTAAATTAGTTCTGCAAGACGCTGAATCTTGCACCCTCTTATAACCCTACTTCTTCCTTTCCAGGTCAAATTGTTAATTTATAAAATAAAAATGATGCTATATATTCTTCTTTTACACTTCTCCATATTTCACATTTGATCTACTTTGATCCGGAGCCAGTGGATAAGTAGTGATACCCAGAATCATCTCACTGATGGTGCTATGGACCACTCCACCAATCCTCACTGCTCATACTGCCAGACTGCTGTAGCTGCTCTCTCATTGGTCCTTTCCTGTAGCTCTCTCCTCTTTTCCGTCGCCATGGCGAGAGCTCATCAGCTCTGTACACCAAGATCGTCTATTGAGACAATGACTCACTCACGGACAGAATAATCCCGCACAGATAGGCTAAATAATGTCTTCTCTTCTCATGTGGCTCATTTCTGCCCAGAGGAGATGATATCCCTACAGTGCATGGCGGATTATCAGACAATGGACGAGACACACACATACGTTGTGGTGGTTTTTGTAGTTGTTTTTGTTTCTTTGCAGTTCCTTTGAATCTCTTTGTAGTCTTTTTTTGTGTCACATTGTGGTTGTTTTGTATGTCTTTGTTGTCGTTTTGCGTCTCTTTGTAGTTGTTATACATCTCTTTCTGGTTTTGTGTCTCTTTGTGGTAATTTTACGTCACTTTGTAGTTATTATGTGGTTGTTTTTGTAGTTATTTTTTGTCTCTTTGCAGTTCCTTTGCATCTCTTTTTTTCTGAGTGTGACTTTTTGCGTCGTTTTGAGTCTCTGTCATCCATTTATAATAATTTGTGTCCCTTAGCAGTTAATTTGAATTTTTGTGTAGTCTTTTTTACGTCACATTGTGGTTGTTTTGCGTCTCTTTGTAGACATTATACGTCTTTTTAAGGTTTTGTGTCACTTTGTGGTCATTTTGTGTCTCTTTGTGGTTGTTTTTGTAGTTATTTTTTGTCTCTTTGCAGTTCCTTTGCATGTCTTTTTTGTGTGTGTTTGTCTCTGAGTGTTATTTTGAGACTGTCGTCTCCCCCCTTTAATAGTTATTTTCTGTCTCTTAGCGGTGCCTTTGAATCTCTTTGTAGTCTTTTTTGTATCTCTTTGCAGTTCCTTTGCATCTCTGTTTTTGTGTGTTTGTCTCTTTGTGTCATTTTGAGTGGCTGACATCCCCCCCCCCTTTTATAGTTATTTTGTGTCTCTTAGCGGTTCAGTCTTTTTTGTGTCACATTGTGGTTGTTTTGAATCTCTTTGTTGCTGTTTTGCATCTCTTTGTAGTCATTATAAATCTTTTTTGTTTCGTGTCTTTTTTTGGTTGTTTTTGTAGTTATTTTGTGTCTTTGCGGTTCCTTTGCATCTCTGTGTCCATGTGTTGTTGTTTTTTGTGTCTCTGTGTCATTTTGAGTTTCTCTGTCATTGTTTTGCCCCTTTCTATAGTTGTGGTTGTTTTGTGTCCATTTTTGGTGATTTTGTGTCTCCTTGTGGTCATTTTGTGTCTCTTTGCGGTTGTTTAGTGACTTTTTGTAGTGGTTTTGTGGTTGTTTTATGTCTCTTTTTAAGCCATTTTGTGTCACTTTGCCTCAGTTTTGTGTCTGGTTGTTTTGCCCATTTTTGTGATTATTTTATATTATATATACAGTACAGGCCAAAAGTTTGGACACACCTTCTCATTCAATGCGTTTTCTTTATTTTCATGACTATTTACATTGTAGATTCTCACTGAAGGCATCAAAACTATGAATGAACACATGTGGAGTTATGTACTTAACAAAAAAAGGTGAAATAACTGAAAACATGTTTTATATTCTAGTTTCTTCAAAATAGCCACCCTTTGCTCTGATTACTGCTTTGCACACTCTTGGCATTCTCTCCATGAGCTTCAAGAGGTAGTCACCTGAAATGGTTTTCCAACAGTCTTGAAGGAGTTCCCAGAGGTGTTTAGCACTTGTTGGCCCCTTTGCCTTCACTCTGCGGTCCAGCTCACCCCAAACCATCTTGATTGGGTTCAGGTCCGGTGACTGTGGAGGCCAGGTCATCTGCCGCAGCACTCCATCACTCTCCTTCTTGTTCAAATAGCCCTTACACAGCCTGGAGGTGTGTTTGGGGTCATTGTCCTGTTGAAAAATAAATGATCGTCCAACTAAACGCAAACCGGATGGGATGGCATGTCGCTGCAGGATGCTGTGGTAGCCATGCTGGTTCAGTGTGCCTTCAATTTTGAATAAATCCCAACAGTGTCACCAGCAAAACACCCCCACACCATCACACCTCCTCCTCCATGCTTCACAGTGGGAACCAGGCATGTGGAATCCATCCGTTCACCTTTTCTGCGTCTCACAAAGACACGGCGGTTGGAACCAAAGATCTCAAATTTGGACTCATCAGACCAAAGCACAGATTTCCACTGGTCTAATGTCCATTCCTTGTGTTTCTTGGCCCAAACAAATCTCTTCTGCTTGTTGCCTCTCCTTAGCAGTGGTTTCCTAGCAGCTATTTGACCATGAAGGCCTGATTGGCGCAGTCTCCTCTTAACAGTTGTTCTAGAGATGGGTCTGCTGCTAGAACTCTGTGTGGCATTCATCTGGTCTCTGATCTGAGCTGCTGTTAACTTGCTATTTCTGAGGCTGGTGACTCGGATGAACTTATCCTCAGAAGCAGAGGTGACTCTTGGTCTTCCTTTCCTGGGTCGGTCCTCATGTGTGCCAGTTTCGTTGTAGCGCTTGATGGTTTTTGCGACTCCACTTGGGGACACATTTAAAGTTTTTGCAATTTTCCGGACTGACTGACCTTCATTTCTTAAAGTAATGATCGCCACTCGTTTTTCTTTAGTTAGCTGATTGGTTCTTGCCATAATATGAATTTTAACAGTTGTCCAATAGGGCTGTCGGCTGTGTATTAACCTGACTTCTGCACAACACAACTGATGGTCCCAACCCCATTGATAAAGCAAGAAATTCCACTAATTAACCCTGATAAGGCACACCTGTGAAGTGGAAACCATTTCAGGTGACTACCTCTTGAAGCTCATGGAGAGAATGCCAAGAGTGTGCAAAGCAGTAATCAGAGCAAAGGGTGGCTATTTTGAAGAAACTAGAATATAAAACATGTTTTCAGTTATTTCACCTTTTTTTGTTAAGTACATAACTCCACATGTGTTCATTCATAGTTTTGATGCCTTCAGTGAGAATCTACAATGTAAATAGTCATGAAAATAAAGAAAACGCATTGAATGAGAAGGTGTGTCCAAACTTTTGGCCTGTACTGTATATATTATTATTAAATTATTATTAGATTATTATATATTATATATATATATATTATATCTCTTTGCAGTTCCTTTGCATCCCTTTGTGGTCTTTAAGCATCTCTCTGTAGTAATTCTGAGTCTCCTCCTGGTCGGTAATTTGAATGACATTTTGCAGGTGAAGGCCAGGGGGCCCCTGACACGTATGGCCCCTGGGCTTGTGCCTAATAGGCCTGTTCCGTTATCCATCCATGCCTACAGTTGCACATAAATGATGGATGAGTGACCCCCAAATCAACTGTGTTGCACTTGTAATTTCCACACGATTGCAATCTATCCAATCCAAGGCAGTCTACTGTAGGTGTCTCCTTCCCTTGTTTTTGCACAACCATCAATGTTAGTGAACATCTTTAACACCAGTGTTGCCTGCAGACCCATTTGTGACACAGATACGAAGAGTCTATAGGTTTATTCTAAAGCGTCTATAGAGAGAAGCAAAATCGATGCAACTTTTTTAACTAGATATATGTGCAGGAGCATCAAGATGAGAGCAGAGATTATCCTCTTTTGTGGTACCAAGAAGTAGCTGTGGAGTGAGACCTCCTCACTGCCTCCTCCTCTCTGCAGCAGGGGATCAGAGAGGTGGAGGAGGAGGAGGACAGACAGAGAGGCAGAGCAGGGAGTGGGCGGGGGGAACAGAGGACGGAGAAAGAGACAGAGTGGTGAGAGGAGAGAGGCAGCGTCTCACTGATGCTGAGTCACATTACAGAGGGACCACAGCCGCATCCCATGAGTCTTTGGGAATCATGGAGGAGCTCGAGCACACCTGCCCCCATCCCCGGACGGTAGGGCATTTGAATGTGTGTGTTCTGTCGTGTGTTCATGCCTTGCAGTGTGTGTGGCAAACAGACACAGGGAGACAAAGGGACCTGCTTTCTCCCCTGTTACGAAACAGATCCCCTATAGCATGAGGCTGTGGGATACACTGAGAATGCTGAGTGGACAGTGTGTGTGTGCTTGAGTGTGTGTTTGCCAAAGAAGGAGGGGGTTCACACAATGGACAACATTGCATGAGTGTCCTGCTGATGGGACATTGCGGCAGTGAGGAGAACCTCCTGTGTTTGGATCCTCTTGTCTGCTTTGGTGTAATTCCTCATCCTGGCATTCATGTTTGTCTCCTCATATGTGCCTTCTCCTCCTCCCTACCTTCACCTCAGCCTCTCTGTTGTTGTGAGACTCTCTGTCTTTACTGCCGGTGTTTTCTCTTGGCCTTGTGTTTCTCTTTTTTTGTCAGCTTTAATCCTCCTTATGCCAGATGTTCTTTGCTTGTGCCAGAGTGGGCTTTACTGTGCACGCTCACGCCACTCGCCCTGATAGGCCTGTGCTGTTTGTCCCCTGGTCAGCGAGTTTAAGCTTTACCATCTGCTCTGTGCCAAGTGTTTGTAAGCCTCCCCTCTATTCTCACCGTGCCCAAGGATTCATGGATGATGAGGGTGCTCCCTAACCACAAACTCTCTGCTGCTACTAGCTTTGAATTTTGATACCTCTCTAATGGAGATCTTAAGCAGTTAAAAGGTTTAACAGTGAGATTCAACTTACGGCTGCCAGGTGGCATGCACACTGGGAGTTTTTTGTGTACCTTGAATGTAAATAAGATGGCAGAGTGCATAAAAAGCATCAAAATGGAGTGTATTTATCCAAAAGGATCCCTCTGGCCCCCCGACAGAGGTCCAGGCTAAACCCTGAATGTCCTCAAATCCTAGAAATGCCCCTGCGTACACCTGATCTGTGCTGAGCTGCTGTGACTGGATTTACCTCTCTGCAATCACAAGTGAGGACAGCAAATGTCAAAAGGTTGAAAAGAGGCAATTCATGTATTATATATACTGATAAATATTAATATTTGCTTTTTAACTTCCCACTGGCTTCCTGCCATTTTGCAAAAGCAAGTTGAGTATCCCTGGTTTAACATGACCTGACAACATGTTCGAAGCCAAAAAAACAGCGGAAGGATGTGCAAGTAAATGGGACGTGGGAGGATAATCTATAAAAGGAGTCTCACATGGATGGCAATATTAAAAAATGAATGTCTTCCTTCTGTTTCTCCTGTAGCTGTAACTCTTTACCTGCCAATGTGTTGCCTACTTTTAAATATTATGTTACACTGATGGATTGAAATCCATTTGTCCACACTAAATGGCCTGTTTCTAGGTCTCGAGATCGCCGCCCACGTTTTAATTGCTCAGCAATTCGTATAATGAAGTGAAAGTGAAATTGCATTTCATCAGCAGCAGCTGACCATAAATAGCTGACCGGACCAAATAAGCATACCGCCGAACCATTATCGCATCAAAATCAGGAAGTGTGTCATGTGTTATATGTTTTATTGGCTATGCATGAACAAATATATTTTGCTTATGTTTGCCAAAATCCTATATCAATATACTTATGCTTGGGGTTGACCTTGTTTTACTGTGAGGGTTGTTTTCTGTAGTGGACGTCTGCAACATGTCATCAGTTCAAAATCATGTTTATAAGCAATTCTCATAAAGTTAGGGGAAATACTCGTAAATGTAAAAGTGATACAACTGTGGATTTTGAGCTTCTAAAGATGTCCCATGGTCTCCTGGGTCTCAAACATAGCAGGGTTGAACAAGCTGCTTTAAGGACATTACACCTCCCCAGATGTTTATGCTTGCTTCTTAGAGCTCTTTTTGCCATATATTAGTTTAGGAAGGACCTCAAGTTTGAAAAGGTAAGCTGTAATGCAGTTGATAAAAACATCCAGAAACAGGCAGGTATCTGAAAATCGCTTATCCGGCCGGGTTGCGGGGCAGCAGGCCGAGCAAAGCACCCCAGACGTCCCTCTCCCCAGCAACACTCTCCAGCTCCTCCTGGGGGACCCCAAGGCGTTCCCAGGCCAGATGAGATATGTTATCCCCCCAGTGTGTTCTGGGTCTGCCTGGGGCCTCGTACCAGTGGGACGTGCCTGGTACACCTCTAACAGGAGGCGCCCAGGAGGCATCCTGATCAGATGCCCGAACCACCTCAACTGGCCCTTTCAACGTGAAGGAGCAGCGGCTCTACTCTGAGCTCCCTCCGCATGTCTGAGCTCCTTACCCTATCTCTAAGGCTAAGCCCAGCCACCCCACAAAGGAAACTAATTTCGCCTGCTTGTATCCGCGATCTCATTCTTTCGGTCACTAACCAGAGTTCATGACCATAGGTGAGGGTTGGGCAGCGTAGATGGACCAGTAAATCGAAAGTTTTGCCTTCCAGCTCAGCTCCATTTTCACCAAACCACTGATCCATCTCGCACTACATTCTATCCTCACTTGTGAACAAGACCCCGAGATACTTGAGCTCCCTCGCTTGAGACAGTAACTCTCCACCCAACCCGGAGAGGACAATCCGCTGGTTACCGGCAAAGAATCATGGCCTCAGATTTGGAGATTAGCCCAAACTAAACTGAAAACCAACTGGGATAATACAATGAACTCAGGGAAGAAATCCCAAAAGAACACAAGACACCAGGCAGGAAGCGGCGTAGGGAACGACCCCAAGAACACTGGGATGAACACAGACAAACTGGTATATATACACAGAAAACTAATCACATGCATGAGACATAGCTGGAGCAGGAGGACACAGTCGGGCGTAAGGAGGGAAATGGAGATTGGCCAACAACAAGGGTGTGGAGAGGAACACTAGGGTGGAGCAGACAAGACTAAAACAGAGCAGGTGTAAAGGGAAGACTCTGGGAACAGGGAAGGACTAACGAGACAGGTGGAAGACAGGTGTGACAGAAAACAGGCAAGAAAACACACAAAGGCAGGAAGTAAAACCAGACATGACACATGAGGAGAGAATCTACAAAATAAAACAGGAAACAGATTACTCAGAGGAGGTCACCTGTTTATAGCTCATGTTGTTGCCTGTCATACAGAGATGGATAACTCGAGAACTGTCTTCAGTGTGACAGAGTCCCATTAAAGTATGATGATAAAGTATTATGGTAAGAATTTGTGAAAAACTTTACATTTCAGAATAATTTGTAGCCGTTATTTAAACAACCTTCTCATTAAGAAACAGTCTTTTCGGAAACTTTTGGGAACACAGTATTTCATGCAATGTGAGCACCACAGGTTAAATTTCATTGACCTCCACTGAATTCAGGAATGTGTGCGCCCCAACCATTGCAGTTTGTAAATCCAGATTGGAAACCTTATTGGTCTTTTGGCATTTTTAACTAGGGATGCACGATATTGGATCCTTTGCCAATATCTTATATGCCGATATATAACAACTTATTTGGCCAATAACTGAAACTGATGTCGATATATCCACTTTTTTCCCACTTAATTTTAGTGATCATCAAGTCTCTTCTGTAGTGGAATTAACATCATATTATGCATGCATACTCTTATCGTGATGGCCCACCAGCAGACGGAGACATGATACACAATACTTTTCAACGTTTGTAATAATTATTCATTGTGAAAAATGAGGAAAAGCATGTTCGGTGAATTGAATAGATTCAATAGTCTATTTTAAAGACCATTATCGGCTGACACCGATGATGTATCGATGTTATCGTGCATTTCGATTTTTAACTACATTTTTTTTTAAACCCAAGGTGTTACAATTGTATCATTAATATTATTATTTTAAATTTTGTGTGTGTTTATGGCAGTTATATGCACTTTTTTCAGATTATTTGAGATCACAGAGTGCCTAAAATCTAGGGGTGTAACGATACATCGATCCACATCGATACATCGATTCATTGATTAACGATCCGATTATATCGATGCAAAATGAAAACATCGATCCATATCGTCATCTTAAAGATACACATTTATTTTGAAATTCACATAGCACGTCTGTGTCACCATTTCTGGGCAAGCGCGCCTCCGCTCAAACAACAAACAGAGCTCAGAAATAAAATGGTCAAATCATATTCTAGTTGTTTTTGTGAGTTGATGTAAATGTTTGTGTTAGATGGGCATATGATATCGCGTCATATCGATCACAGGCTCCTGAATCGAATCGAATCAAAATCGTATCGTGACAGACTTTGTGATATCGGCAAACATCGTATCGCCATCCAAACAAATCAATATAATATCGTAGTGATTTACACCCCTACTAAAATCATCTGTACATTATTTGGGAAAAACATTAAAGGTGCCAGGGAAAAATGATCACCCCATTTTGTATCTAAGTGTTCTCCAATGGGATTGGGGGAAAAATCAGGGCAGCAGCATTGCATAAAGGCATACAGTACATGGGTAATTATTGCATAATGATCACATAGCCTAGATAAGAATCACAGTTCAGGGGGAACACAACTAATTTAGAGAAGCAAAGTAAACAGAAGAGCTTTAGACGACATTACTATTTTTAAGTTACATAATGTAGGTAGGGTAGGACTTTGGCATATAATGGCATTACTAATCTTGAACTCTATTTTTTTGTAATATAATGCCGGAGTAGATTTCATAATCCAATTGTTTATCTGACAAATCCATGCCATGATAATCTGGGCTGCTCTGATTGCAAATCCAGGATCCCCAACAATGCAAACTACATGTGGTCGTCAATACTCTGGATTTGATATTCGGCTAACAAAAGAACATTTACTCCATTATATTTGGTTTATTAAGGGCCACACATTATTACAATATTCAACTGGGCCTATACAAAAAATATTAATGTATGAATTTTTAACTATCTGTATCAGTATTTGGTGCGCACCCATTTCCTAATTAAGAATTTAATTTAATTTAATTTAAAAAACCTTCAGGGGGAACCTATTTGTCTTCGTTCGCATGTATGACACATCACATTATTTTACATTATTTCCCATTTATATGGATGTGTTATTGATGCTTTGATGTAATTTTAAAATGTTTAAAATTAATTCTTGAATGATTTTGTTGAGAAATATTTCACCAGTAATGGCTGTTTGTCAACTGTAATTTGATATTAGTCAATAAAAAGAAACATTTATGTCATTATAAGAGTGATAACACGTTATAGAGGCTATCGTGCACAGATAGATGCACCTTGAGATTTTTTGGCTCGCCCTTTGTTGTGCTTTGGGCACACAAAGATTGGAGCAAGTAGAGTAGAGCCCCCCTGCACCCCACCTCTGGTTAAAGCTTCATTTTCCTTAACGTATTAACCTGTTAAGTTTTACTCTCCAAACCTGTGCTGCCATTTAAAACCTCTGATTAGATATCTAACTGTCCCTATCTGTGCCTGTGGAACATGTTGTCACGCCAGACTCTGATTTGGTTGCTGCTCCGAGAGGATATGTTGACGTCAGTTGCCTGCAGTGTCCACAGAGATTGTATCTGTTTCCATTTTTTCACCCGCCTCTCACACTCCCACAGCTTTCTGCTCTGTGCAGACTCCGATTCTCATTTATTGGTGTGAATGAGATTCGGTGAATATTCCCTGCAGTCAACAGATGGCACACAAAGACAAATTTCCAGGCGTGCTCACACTGCAACACTTTAACCTTGATGTAGCTTTGACAAGCGCAAACAAGTAACGTCTATTATTCCAATCGTCCTTTCTTGCCCTGTCTGTCTTTGAGCCACGTCCTGCTGTCTTTTATTCTTTCCTTACCTGCTTGATGCATCTGCAAATGATCATTGTTTCCTCCCCGTCCAGTTCACAGCTGGCAGTCACCTGCGTCACGACCTCTTCCATCTTATTCGCTCCTGTGAAATGAAACTAATTTCCAAGAGGCCTTCAACTACGGATCAATAGCTCTGCCCTTGTTTTCTGACACACACACACACACACACACACACACACACACACACAAACAGTGATCAATACCACTGAGTGCAGCTCTGGCTGTCTCTCAATCCATTGTCCTAGTATGGAGCAGGCATCGACTGTGGTCAATAACCTAATGGAGGTTACTGTAACAGGAGTAAGCGTGGAAACAGAGACATATCATGTAGCACTGAAGGGATGCAGGTGTTTCAGATGAACATCAGTCTCTCAGACGTTCATTCATCCTCCTAACTAAGATGTTTGTTCTGTATTTGATCTCTAACCCAGTCTCTCTCTCTCTCTCCGTCTCTGTGTCTCAGACTCTGACAGAGCCTGCCATCTTTGCCCGGGAGACCAGTTGTGATTGTCGCGCCCCTCATGAGAAACTCACTATCACTCAGGCCCGCAGAGGCACCCCAGGTATACACAGCAGATCTCCTCCTGCTTGTTTTCCTTCTCTGATCCATTTCCTGCAGCTGCTCTTTTTCCCGCTTTCATGTTTGTCTCCTCAATCTGTCCTTTCTCTAACTACATTTACTCACAATGCTATCATCACTGCTCCTGCTACATTTTTTACGATGATACTGTACTGCAGCTACTGATAGAGCACCTGCTACTGCGTCTACTTCCTCTGAAGCTATTAGCTCATACCACAACAGATGCTGCTGCTAATGCTGCTGCTACTCCAACGGTATCACTATCACTGCAACTATTACTTCTACTACTGATGCATTTTACAAGTGATGCTAATGGGAGCCTATCTATGTTTCCCGGGTTCTATATTCCCCACTTAACCCTGCAAAAAAGGTTCTATGTTTCCTTTTTGTGTAAGCGGGAAACATAGAACCCTTTTTGTGTAAGTGGGGAACATAGAACCCGGGAAACGGGGATGACCCCATGCTAACACTACTGCTACTTACTCCTCTTATATGGCCTACTTATTATAAGTACTGCTAGTACAGCTGCCACTGTGTCTACTACTACCTCTAAAGCTAACTTTAGTACCGCTACTACTGTTGCAACTCCAGCAGTCTCACAACAATCTGACACTGATGCATTTTACCTACTAGTTATGCTAACACTAATATATACAGGGGTGAATTGAGAAACGGGGCCCCTGGGTGCAGACATGCAAAAGGCCCCACCACCTCTCCTACACAGGAACAGGAACTTTTTGTAGTCATTTTGTGTCTCTTTGTGGTTGTTTATGTGACTTTTTGTAGACGTTTTGTGTCTTTTTGCCATTGTTTTGTTACTTTTTGTAGGCCTTTTTTTTGTCTCCTTGTGCTTGTTTAGTGACTGTCAGTAATCATTTTGTGGTTGTTTGGTGTCTTTTTGTAATCAATTTATATCTCTTTGTGGTAATTTTGTGTCTTTTTGCAGTTGTTTTGTGACTTTTTGTAGTCATTTTGTATCTCCTTGCAGTTATTTTGTGACTTTGCGTTGTCGTTTTGTGTCTTGCGGTTGTTTTGTGTCATTTTGTGGTTGTTTTGTAGGCTTTTTGTGTCTCTTTATGGTTGTTTTATGTCTCTTTTCAGTCATTTTGTGTCTTTGTTTTTTCTCTTTTTGTAGACCTTTTGTGTCTCCTTATGGTTGTTTTGTGTCTCTTTGTGGCTGTTTAGTGACTGTCTATAATCATTTGTGGTTGTTTGGTGTCTTTTTGTAGTCATTCTATGTCTCTTTGTGGTACTTCTGTCTTTTTGTGGTTATTTTGTGACTTTTGATAGTTGTTTTATTACTATTTATAATCATTTCATGGTTGTTTGGTGTTTTTGTAGTAATTTTGTGTCTTTTTGTAGTTGATTTGTTGTTGTTTTGTGACTCTTTGTAGTTGTTTTGTAGTTGTTTTATGTCTCTTTTAAGCCATTTTGTGTCCGTACGTGTTAATTAAGGCGACATATTGCTGGTGAAAGCCAGGGGGCCCCCTAGCACTTTAGAGCCCTGGGCCTGTGTCTGATAGGCCCGTTTAGTAATCCATCCCTGACTGTACTACAGGGGTCTTCAGTGTTTTTCAGAGCAAAGGACCCCTTAGCTGAAAGAGAGATGGAGCAGAGACCCCCTGCTTAAGCATACATGTGGAAGACACAGTGAATCATCAGACTTTTCTGTATCTGTGGATAGCTACCTTAGTAAGATGTCTGACCCCAGTGAGTGGCACATAGCCTGTCTATCGTAGGGTGAAAGGAGGTTGTCAGAAAGAAAGTCATATCAGTGTCAGGCTATATAGTCTTGAGCTGTATTTGCTTTTCAGGTAGGTAGGGAGGAAAAACTTTTTCATGGAGATAGTTTGTTGCAAAAGGCAAAATATGTTGCATTCATGTTAATGTGTATTTTTAATTTTCAATTTAGTGGCTTGTATTTCAAAATATAGGTTATATAAATATATGTGGCCTGCCACACAATATTGGTTTATGAAGCAAGATCACTTTGCAGTTTTTCTGTTCACCTCACCATGGCAGGACTATCACACAGTTTGTACACATGCACCAAGTAGGAACTATACAGGTGGAACTAATGGGTTCTCATAAACAAACAATTACCCAACAGCAGACATTTCCTGTTAGGCAGCAGACATGGCCACAACACAGAGGCGGAAAGTCAACAGTGACGGCTGCCGCCTGAAAGTGGTGGAAAGTCGAATGCTTTTTCCCTGAGAGATGAGCAGTTGCATCTGTCTCATTCATATGTGTGTGTGTGTGTGTGTGTGTGTGTGTGTGTGTGTGTTTAATCACCCATATGATGCAAGACTCAGCCTGTTCCCAGGTATTTTCACATGATCTTATCTTGCCCCATTCAAAAAGTTTGGAAACCCCTGCTGTACTGATACTACTGCTAGTGCAGCTGCTACTATCATTACTATCACTACTGCTATTACTTTTGCTTCCCCATCACAACTGCTCTTACTACTGATGCTAACGCTACGGCAACTGCTGTGGCTACCACTGCTACTACTATTACTTACTTGATTTTTTGATTTTTAGTTTTATTGCTGTGTGTTTCAGTGGACCGGCCAGTCAGAGTCTACGCAGACGGCATCTTTGACCTGTTCCACTCTGGACACGCTCGTGCTCTCATGCAGGCCAAGAACCTCTTCCCCAACACCTACCTCATAGTAGGAGGTAGGACAGACCCACGGAGACAACACACACTCATACTGTACATACACAAATCTGTCTGATAGTGATGTGTATCCGTCTGTGGTTTCTCTCCCACATGCCTGGAACAGTATGCAGTGATGAGCTGACCCATAAGTACAAAGGTTTCACAGTCATGACGGAGCTTGAACGATACGAAGCGTTGAGGCACTGCCGCTATGTCGACGAGGTTCTGAGAGACGCACCCTGGACTCTCACACCGGAGTTCCTAGAGAAACACAAGGTGTGTGTGTGTATCATTGTCTGCAGTAGTGTCAAACTGTGCATGAAACATCTAGAGGCTGTAATCACATTCTAAAGCCTAAAGTAACCTCTAACTGAGTTAGGAGAAACTCCTAGAAAATAAGAGCTGTGTCAGTTCTTACTTTGGGATTCCTCAGAGTAATTCACACGGCTTTTAAGGGCTAAAAGTAGGTAGTAAGTCTGAGAGAAGTCAGAGGCAGTCCAGGACTCCTTAAATCCAGGTGCTGCAGGTAAAATGCCCTGTCCCCCATGATCACTGCTTACCTCTGGAACTGTACCCCCCACTCTCAATCTGGCTGCAATTACACCCACCCTCAAAAAACCCGGTGCTGACCCATCTGACCATAACCACTACAGGCCCATCTCTAACCTTCCCTTCAGTTCCAAAATCCTGGAGAAGGTGGCTGCCACGCAACTTCAGTCCCTCAACTCAAAGAGTTTCCACAAACCCTTCCAATTTAGTTTCCACCCAAAATACGTTACTGAAAAAGCCCTGGTTAGACTCACCAACGACCTCCTCCATGCTCACCACCCTTACCCTCCTTGATCTAAGTGTCTTGTTCCACACCATCTCCCACCCGCTACTCCTGGAACGCATCGCTGATGTTGAGATCACTGGTGTTTCACATTCTTAGTTTGTGGACCGCTTTCCTCCACCTCCACAACATTTCCAGACTCCATCCATCTCTGTCCCAGTCCAGCACTGAAGTCTTGGTCCATGCATTTGTTACATCCTGTAATGTCTACTCCCCACCAAACTCCTTAACAGGCTTCAAATCATTAAAAACTCTGCTGCCCGGATTGTTACGAGCATCAGATCATCCGACCACATCACCCCCATTCTCATCCAACTTCAAAACCGAATTGTCTACAAAAACCCTCTGTTCACCTTCAACGCCCTCCACAACCTTTTTTCACTTCATGTCTGTGTGCCAGTGCAGTGTTTTCTGCCGTACGGTCATGTCCTTTGATTGTTCCTCAGATCGATTTTGTGGCTCACGATGATATCCCATACTCCTCAGCAGGAAGTGAGGACATTTATAAACACATCAAGGAGGCAGGTCAGTGTGTGATAACAGGAAAATATCTGTGTGTACTTCCTCAGGCAGTTTTCAAATCCTGTGTGTTTTCATGTGTGTGCGCCAGGGATGTTTGTGCCGACACAACGGACAGAGGGAATCTCAACATCTGACTTGATCACCAGAATCGTCAGAGACTACGACGTCTACGCCCGACGCAACCTCCAACGTGGCTACACGGCTAAGGAGCTTAACGTCAGCTACATCAACGTAAGAGCATGATCAATTCTTCATGTCACCATCATGGTATAATGGGCATGCACATGCATTGCAAGAAATGTAAGACTTTTACTTCCCATTATATTGGTTATTACTTCAAATGGGCTGTACTCCTCTACAGATGTTAACCAGTCAGGATACAATTAGACTAATTTCTTGTTCTTCATTGACGTGTCCATTTGCAACACTTGCATAATGGCTTCTCCTTGACATTTAACTCCCACAGGAGAAGAAGTACCGGCTGCAGAACCAAGTGGACCGAATGAAGGAGAAGGTTCGCACGGTGGAGGAGAAGAGCAAACATTTTGTTTACCGTGTGGAGGAGAAGAGTCACGACCTCATTCAGAAGTGGGAAGAGAAATCCAGAGAGTTTATAGGCAACTTCCTAGAACTTTTTGGACCTGACGGTACCTGGGTAAGTGACTCTTTGATAAAGGCAGTTCACATAGTTTCAGTGGACAGCATATATGAGCATGTCAGGAACCAGTTAGGTACTTGAAGTGGTTAATTGGTACATTGGCTCCTTTAGTTTGCCTGCTAGTTCACTCCACTGAGTTTGATGGATATTTTTGGCTGCATAGGAGGTCATGTGGGTCAAGCATGCTTACTGTATATAAAGTCAATAGTTTCTTAGTTCATATAATTTATTTTCTTCTAAGTATATCTCATGTTGTATTGATACCCTGTGGACAAAATTATAGGACTTTCATTGTAACCAGAGGTGGATGAACTACTCAAGGGCTGGTTGCACAAAGCACCTTAACTTTGCTCCTTATGACACTTAAGGTTAAGTTTTTCCTTAGTTGAGGAAATTATTTAAAACTGTCGCACAGAATCTTTTAAAAGGTTTCCTTAGTCAGGGAAAGGCGTACAGTCATTTACTGCACTGAAAGAGGTCTTACAGCAGTAAATTTCTACTGTTTCCATGGAGACCATTTGTTTGCTTGAACATGCACCTGTGATAGCCCAGGCTACATGTTGTATTCTCTCACAAGGTCGGCCTGATAGTAAAAAAATGGCAGAGGATAAGAAGACATGAAAACCACATTGGTTGGAGGAAGAAAAAAAATCATACTTTCTATCTTCTACTTCCATCTGTATGTCCGTCCATCCCATTCAGTGAACGCGATATCTCAGCTTCAGGAATTTCTTCAATTTGGGACAAACATTCACTTGGACTCAAAGATCAACTGCTTAGATTTTGGTGGTCAAAGGTAAAGATCAGTGTGACCTCATCTGTCTCATTCGCGTGAATGCGATACTTTAAGAACGCCTGTAGAGAATTTCTTCAAATTTGGCACAAACGTCCACTTGGACTAAAGGAAACTGATTAGATTTTGGTGGTCAAGGATCAAAGATCAAGGTCACTGTGAGCTTTCATCCATCCCAACCTCAGTAAAGCGATATCTAAAGAATACTTTGAGGGATTTTCTTCAAATTTGGCACAAACTTTCACTTGGACTCAACAATGAACTGATTAGATTTTAGTGGTCAAAGGTCAAGATCAATATGACCTTGTATCCATCTCATTCTCATGAATGCAATATCTCAAGAGGACCTTGAGGGAATTTCTTCAAATGTGACACAAACATCCAGTTGAAATGAAGAATAAACCGATTAGAATTTGGTGATCAAAGATCAAGGTCACTGTGACCTCAAAAAACAAATTTTTGGCTATAACTCAAGAATTCCTGTAAAAAATATGACGAAACTTCACACTGATGTCTAATAGAATAAAGTGATGAAGTGATGACATTTTAATTTCAAAAGGTCAAAGGTCAACTTCACAACAACCATGCGGCATTAATTCTAGTTTATACATTGACTTTTGTGCAGTACGTACTGTACTAACACTCACTCTGCTTCTCCCTCCTCTGTCCCTGTACAGAAACAGGTGTTTCAGGAGCGCAGTGGACGAATGCTGTCCTACGCTCTGTCTCCCCGAGAGTCGCCCTGCAACAGCCCTCCCCGCGAACTGTCCCCCCTGCGCTCTCCCTCACCCCCGTCTCCCCCCGTCCGCTGGCACAACGCACGGCCCTCGCCCCCAACCTCCCCCAAAGGAGCATCTGCCTCGATAAGCAGCATGAGCGAAGGTGATGAAGATGAGAAGTAGATGGACTGTTGAACACACACACACACACACACACACACACACACTTCACTCACAACGCACTGCCTGAGAACTGCTCACACACACAGTCACACACACTCCGACAAACACTGGCTGGATACTGAACAGTTATCCTCAAGGGAGACGGCGATCATGGGAAATGTAGTTCTTTGCTGCGGAGCCGAGAAGCCATCACTGTCTCTGTTGTCTGGGCAACCAAGCAGACAGAAGCAAGACAAAGGAAGGAAAGGATTTACGAACATGGTGTCACATATCGTACGCAGGTGCGGAACGCTTCGCAGCATCTTTCGGGAGGATTTGCTTCGGATTGTCCAGCGCTGATAGAGACTGTCTGACAGCCTGCTCATGACATCACCTCATCGCTTTATGTCCTGTTCTGTTTAGTTTAGCATTTTTACTGAGATGCCAAGATTTCTTGTAACTACTGTGATCACAACATTTGAATAGGCACAGTGTTGCAGAGCATTGTGGGTATTGTTCAGTTCAACAGGTCACGTGAATCAACGGGAACTGGATTCATTAATCACTGAGTTATTTTGTGCTTGTTGAACTGAGAGTAAGGAATAAAAGAAAAGACACTGCACACCCCAGATTAGTAGAAGTGAAGTGTTGGACAACTTCTTGGCACTTAAACACCATTTTAGCACAAATGGTTGGCAAGGATTATTAAAATTGGTGATCAACAATTCTTAATGTACTTGTTCCCACGCTACTGTAATGACCACTAAAACGGATTAAAACTAATCCCTGAGAAAATCATATGAAATTAAAATTAGCCTCTGGGAATGGCAGCCTGCACATTCCTGAAATTTATCCAAAACTGAGATTATTGTTTAGAAAAAGGTCAAGTGAAAGGTGGTTTTTATCACCTTGGTTGTACAGCTTTGTCTGAAATCAAACTATATAATCCTAGTTGTAAAGTTCATGTGACAGTAAGAGTTTTGAAATGACAAAGGAAACAAAGTTTGCTGTAAAATTAGACACTAAATCGAGCCCCTTACGTATGGAGGATGAAAAATGACTTTTTAATAATTAAATAAATAAATGTATAAATTAAAAAATGCAGGAATAAATAAATATA